GGCAGTTCAGACTCAAATGAAATTCAGGCTCTGTGCATTCCAGTTTCAAACTCAGCCTCACCTGGACATGTGTCCTTGTGTTAAGTGACTGGCTGGGAAGCAGAGGCCATGCAAGTGTTGGGGGGACTTTCCTGCTCATGCCCAGTGAGGCAACTGTGAGGCCAAGCTCCCACCGGACCTCCTTGATGTCAGGACCAGAAATGCCCATGTGGACAGGTGATGGCGACTTAAAATCCAAGCATGCATAAGGAAGAGCAGGGCAGGGTAATTAAAAATGGTCTAGCCTCTCTTCCAAGGAGCCCTGGTGGTACAGGGGTTAAGTGTTCAGCTGCTAAATGAAAGGTCAGTGGTTCGAACTCATCAGCCGCTTCATGGGAGAAAGATGTGGCAGTCTGCTTCCATCAAGATTATAGCCTTGGAAACCTTATGGGGCAGTTTTACTCTGTCCTGTAGGGCCGCTATGAGTCAGAGTCGACTCGACGGCAATGGGTTTGGTTGGCAGTGGGTTTCAGTTTTTTTGGTTAGCCTCTCTTCTCTCCCTCTATCTTCCTCCCATCTCCCCCGTTTCTGTGAAAACCTGAAAACCCTGGGCTCCTCATTCCTCTTCCTTCCGTCCCCACTCGGTCCCCAGCCAGTCAGTTTCTAAATTTCATCTCCACGTTGGCTTTTAAATCAACTCCGCTCCTCTCCATCTCTGTCTCCCCTGCTTTAGTCCTAGTCCTCCTCGTCTCTTGCCTGGACCACTGCGTTTTCACTGGCCCCTGACGCCAGCTGACCCCTTAATCCGTCCTCCACCACCGGCTGCTGAATACAAGAGACTCTTCCTCTCTTGCTTGAAACTCTTCAGTAGTTCTCAGGGCTGAAGCAGGTGAAATCTAAGCTCCTTTCGTAGCATGGCCTTCTACACTGTTTGTGACCACTCCCCTGCCCACCTCACCAGCCTTTGCTCTCAGCACCACTCCGCCTCCCTTGTGCCGTGCTTACCCTCTGCCCCACAAACAACCCGCCTTCCATGAACTCCTCATGCCTTTTCTTGTCTCCTGGCCCAGACTCACTCCTTTCGACTTAGAACAGCAATTCTCAGGGCTGGGGGGCTTCACAGTGTGTACATGAGTGCGGGAGGGGCTGGGGCAGCAATCTGGTTGTCTTGCAGAGCAGGCGTTTTACTTTTCCTGAGATGTTATGCACAAATCGAAGTCAGTGGGTGGTGCGAATGGTTAAGGTACGTGGCTGCTAATTGAAAGGTTGGAGGTTCAAGTTCACCCAGAGGCACCTTGGAAGAAAGGTCTGGAGATCTACTTCCGAAAAGTCAACCATTGACAACCATATGGAGCACAGTTCTACTCCAACACTCATAGGGTCACCATGAGTTAGAATTGACGCAACAGCAACTGGTTTGGTTATTTTTTTATGTACAAATCAATAAAAATGGCAAAACATTCCCTGGATAATTCACAATTTCACACTTTCAGTAAGACTGAGACAATGTGAACTCTCCACATAAAAAAACTGTAAGTCCTTTTATTCTGGATGGCTGGCAGGAGGGACGTGGAGAGGATGGAGGGGTGTTGAAACCCACCTCTTCCCCTCTCCCCAAAAGGCCACTCCTTGGTGCTGCCATTGCCAGAAGGGTCATCCTGGTGGGCCCAGAATTCATCCAAAGAAGTCAGTCATTTCTTCAATTCTCCTTGTCATATAGCATGCAATACATGAATTTTATGTTAAGAAAAGGGATTGTTTATTAGTAATTTCTTAAATTATTAAAACCTACTAAAATTTGATGTTCTTAAAAGTAGCAGACTCCTAGAGTTTACTGATGGAGTCCTTGGACGGCATAAACAGTAAAGTGCTGGACTGCTAACTGAAAGTTTGGTGGTTTGAACTCTGAGTGCAGAGATGCCTAGGAAGAAAGGCCTGGAGATCTGCTTCCAAAAAGTCACAGCCTTGAAAACCCTAGGGAGCACTGCTCTACTCTACACATATGAGGTTGTTATGAGTCAGAAGTGACTTGATGGCAATGGGTTTGTTTTTATTTTTAGACTTTACTGAGGACTCCAAATCAATGTTCTACCAGAAAGTCTGGTCACCATGCAACTCCTAGCAACATCACCAACATCAGACTCCTTAGAAGAGCAGAATTCCCACAATTTGGGGAAAGACTACTGGTCTTTATGAATGTGGCCTCGAGTGAGTCATGGTTTTCAGTTGCTGTGAGTCTTGATTTTAATTATATATTACTGTTAATTTTGTTTCTTTATCAATTAAATTTAATCTGAGGGTAATGATGGTATACAGAGGTACATGTTAACAAAAACAGCATTTTGGACCTATAATTTTTTATAAATTGACATATATATATATATTGTTGTTTATGTATAAATTGCATGCATTACACCTGTTGCTAAAAAAGATATAGCTATATATTTATGTATTTCTTCTGTGCCATTTTGCGGATGATGTTTTGTCTGTGAACGTGTGTTTTTTAAATCACTTGCAACATATTACTAAATTAAGCATAATAAAAATAACTGGGACGTTCATAAATTAATTTGCAAACATTGTTTTGTAACATAGAATTATAAAATTGTCTTATAATACAAAATCATGTGAACATAAGCTACTATTTTTCTATTCTGAAGTAAGGAATAGACTAAAATAACAGACCATTCATAACTGATGACAGCAACAAGTTTATAATAACTTGTTTGGTAATAGCCTTATTCTATATTTTTATTCCTATTTCTATATTTCATGTCACACTGTAATGCTGATGTCATGCTTATTGTTTCATAAAGAAGATATTGAGTCTCAATATAAATCCTAGAGAACTAGGAAGGAGAGGATGCACTAAGCGTGTCTTTTGTGGCCATGCAGAGCCATGCTGATTGCTTGTACTTCCTCTCAATGTGATAGCTTATCCCACCATTACAGATGTCAGATTAATCTTGTGTCTGATTTATTTCATTACAGTCCAAACTCTGTCCATACCTGTTTACTCGTCATACTTTATGTCCTCTGGCATATTTCTCTGCTCACAGTTAGGAACCACATCTATTTGCTAGCAAAAATGAAAAAATAATGACACAATCCTGTTCTGGCAAAGCTGTAGTGAAACAGATGATTTCGTGTGACATGGATGAAAACAAAATTTTTCTGAAAGCAGATGGTAATACCTTTAAAAAAAGGTCACATCCTTTGATCCAATAATAGCATTCCTATAAATCTAGCCTAAGGAAGTAATCATACAAAAATAAATAAATAAAACCAAAAGGCATAAACATGTTCACCTCCATCTAGATAAACAGGAAGCAAAGTAGAAGTCGAACAATGGGTGGTTGGTGAAGTAAACTACAGAATGGCCACTTGATGGCATATGATGTAGCAACTGCGGTGATAATTAGGAAGAAATCATCGTGAGAAAATTATTAAGGAAGCATATAATGTGAAAAAAGCAGAACACACTCTTGTGTCTAATTTGTAGCCTCGACTACATATAACGTTACCTGAGTATGTAGGTGAAGACAATTGCAAGAAAACATGGAAAAATTAATTTGATTTTTTTCGTTTATGAGACCAGGTCCTTCTTTCTATCACCCAGCCTTGCTATTAAGTATAAAATAAACACACTTTAAAAATTTTCGGTATAATATCTGAATAGAGCTTCTTCTGGCCCTGCTTTCTAAGGTATCTGAGATGTCCTGTGGGATATGTTCTCCCTTAGCACAGTCTTCTAGATTTGAAGATTATTCAGGTTTCCTAGGAAGTGCATCCCAGAATTTCTACAACCCAGAAATCCTTCCGTGGGTCCAACTGAATTCCCCCAAAAAGCTGTTGCTTGCTTTTTCTTGTTTGTGTGGTTCTAAAAATGTGGAGGAAAATGCAAACCCTGTCATTAAATGACTCTGGCAATAAAGCTGGTATCGTGTTAAGTGGGGAAAGGTTCAGGGCACACAAGTGTCTGTGTCATGATGACACCAGTTTAGCTTGCATTTCTATTTGTTGAATGTATTCACATCAAAACAAACACAAATAATTTTTAAAACGTATCTATATCTTTAACAAAAAAGACTAGAAAGAAATATGCCAAAATCTTTACAGCGGGTGTTATGATGTGGTGGAAGTTGGGGTAGTTTTTTTCTCTATTTTGCTACAATTTTCAAATTTTCAGAGAAAACGGAAAAGAACTTAAGAAAACATAAAACAAAGCTCCCAAGCCTTGCCTTCTCCAGGCTCAGCAATCTCCACCTTTGATGCTCCTTCAGAGATACAAGACTGCAAAGCGGCAGGAAAGGGAGTGGTTTTAGGGACAAGTGAAGGCATAACGAGATGGAAGCGGAAACAGCAAAGCTGAACCCAAAACTCCTACAATAATTTTCCAGAGGGAAAAAGTAGATGGCTCAATCAATGTCTCCTCTCAATCCAACACACCTTGAACATGAGGCCACCAGAAGGGATGTCTTAAAAATCTCTGGAACTCCAGAGAAGCAGTGACAGAGACACCAAGGCTGGTGGTGTGCCAGGCCTTTCTTCCAAGAGCTCCAAGATGTAGCCCAAATTCACATAATCAATGCTTTCACCCCCACTCCTATCTCCAGCACAGTACCATTAGGGTCTTCTCAATATCAATTACAGAAACTCACCATCAGTCTCTACAGAGTGATAATGACCCCTTTACTCTCACTCCTGTCATTATCTCACTTCAGTCTGAGGAGTAGGCTTCTTTATCACCGCACCCAACCCCCCCACCCCGCCCCAGCTCACATAGGAGGAAAAGGAGTCTCAGAGAAGCGAAGTGACTCGCTGAGGTCACCCAGCCAGTGAATTCTTCAGGGCCAGTGTTTCTGAAACCCCAACCAGCAGTCTTACCAGGCCCTACGCTACAATACCCCTGCCCAACACCTTTGTGACCCTTCACACTGATATATGCCTTGATGCCAAGACTTGCAGATGCCTATCGTGCTGAAAGCAGGAAATTATTCTGGGAAAGCTGAGGCACTTACCTGAACATTAGTGTATCCAGTTGTCTGCGGCTCAAGAGACATCACTGTTCTGTTTGTCAAGGCTCAGGCACAGCTGGTGAGAGGCTTTCCTCGCTCACAGTCCTTCTCACGCCCTCAGATCAGAGACAGTGAGCAAAACTGAGCACCAGCTTGACCACACTTCCCCTTTCTGGTCAGTCATCGGGGAAGCCCTAGACATTGTCACCAGGCAGCCATCCCCTTTTCCAGAGAAGCTGACCTCCCAGGGCTTTCCAGAGGCCAGAATCCTCTCACTGTCCCTTGTTGCTCCCAAGGCCCACCAGACGACCATCAAAATGTGAAAGGGGCTCTGGAAGGGGCCAGGCTTCAAGGTGGAGACTTGGCAGTGTGGTTGGTGAGGTGTCTACACAGATCAGCCTGCCCTGAGCATTCCTGAACAAGGCAATCTGGAGTTCCAGAAGAGAGAGAGGACCCTGACTCCCTCCCAGAGACAGACCAGATAAGAAATCAACTTACGTCTGACAAAGACACCATCCCACAATGGGAGCAGCTCTTGTAAACCCCTTGGAGCGCTGGAAGTGCTGACCCAGCTTCTGCACCAAAGAGGCACAAAAGGCTTCCTGTTTCTAAGTGTGTGTGACAGGATGCATCAAGAAATGTGTCCATTCTCCTTGAAAACAGGAACCAAACAAGGCTGTCGTTTATCACCACCACTCCTATTCAACATTGTTTGGCAAGTCCTAGCTAGAGCAACAAGGCAAGAAAAGGAAATAAAGGACATTCAAATTGGTAAGGAAGAAGTAAACCTATCCTTATTCGCAAATAATATGATACTCTACATAGAACATACCAAATAGTCCACAAAAAAGCTACTGGAACTGATAGAAGGATTCAGCAAAGTGGCAGGATACAAGATTGATATAAAATCAGTTGAGTTCTGTCTTAGTTACCTAGTGCTTCTATAACAGAAATACCACAAGTGCATGGCTTTACAAAGAGAAGTTTATTCTCTCACAGTTTAGGAGGCTGCAAGTCCGAATTCAGGGCACCAGCCCTAGGGGAATGCTTTGTCTCTCTGTCGGTTCTGGGGGAAGGTCCTTGTCATCAATCTTTTCCTGGTCTAGGAGTTTATCAGCACAGGGACCCCGGGTCCAAAGGACACGGGTACTCCTGGCTTTTTGCTTCGTAGCATGACATCTCCCTGTCTCTCTGCTCGCTTCTCTCTTTTGTATCTCAAAAGAGATTGACTCAAGATACAACTTAATCTTGTGGATTGAGACCTGCCTCATTAACATCACTGCCTCTATTCTTGCCTCATTAACATCATAGAGGTAGGAATTACAACACATAGGAAAATCACATCAGATGACAAAATGGTGGACAATCACACAATGCTGGGAATCACGGCCAAGTTGACACACATTTTTGGGGGATGCAATTCAATCCATGACAGATTCCTCTACGTCAACAAAAAGAACTTTGAAAAGGAAATCAGGAAAAAAATACCATTTACCATAGCCTTCCAGAAAGATAAAAAACTTAGGGATACATCTAACCAGGGATGTAAAAGACTTTTACAGAGAAAACCACAAAACAATACTGCAAGAAAGCAAAAGAGACCTCCATAAATGGAAAAACATACCATGCTCTTGGATAGAAAGACTTAACATTATGAAAATGTCAATACTACCCAAAGCGATATACAGATATAATGCAATCCTGATCCAAATCTCAACAGCATTCTTCAACAAGATGGAAAAACTAATTACTAACCTTATATGGAAGGGAAAGAGGCCCTGAATAAGTAAAGCATTTTAAAGAAGAAGAAGGCCTCACACTTCCTGATCTCAGAACCTACTATACAGCCACGGTAATCAAAACAAGTAGGAGGCCTCACACTTCCTGATCTCAGAACCTACTATACAGCCACAGTAATCAAAACAGCCTGGTCCTGGTAGAACGACAGACACATGGACCAATGGAACAGAAGTGAGAATCCAGAAGTAAATCCATCCACCTATGGACAACTGATCTTCGATAACGGACCAAAGTCCACTAAATGGGGGAAGAGACAGTCTCTTCAAAAAATGGTGCTGGCAAAACTAGGTATCTATCCGTAGAAAAATGAAAGAAGACCTATACGTCACCCCATACACAAAAACCAACTAAAAATGGATCAAAGATCTAAACATAAAACCTAAAACTATAAAGCTCATGGAAGAAAAAATAGGGACAATGCTAGGAGCCCTAACACATGGCATAAATAACATACCAAACATAAATAAAAATGCACAAACAGAAGAAGATAAACTAGATAAATAGGACCTCCTAAAAATTAAACAGTTGTGCTCAACAAAAGACTTCTCCAAAAGAGTGAAAAAAGAACCTACAGACTGGGAAAAAAAATTTGGCCACAACACATCCGACAAGGGGCTAATCTCTAAAATTTATAGAAAACTTCAACATCTCCACAACAAAAAGACAAACAATCCAATTACAAAATGGGCAAAAGATATGAATAGACACTTCACCAAAGAAGACATTCGGGTGGCAAACAAACACATGAAGAAACGCTCGTGATAATTAGCCATCAGAGAGATGGAAATCAAAACTATAATGAGATACCGTCTCGCCCTGACAATAATGGCACTAATCAAAAAAAAAAACAAAAAACAGAAAGCAACAAATGCTGGCTAGGTTGCAGGGAGAGTGGAACTCTGATACACTGCTGGTGGGAAAGTAAAATGGTACAACCACTATGGAAAATGGTGTGGCACTTCCTTAAAAAGCTAGAAACAGATGATCCAGCAATCCCACTCCTAGGTATATATCCCAGGAAAAGAAGAGCCATGACACAGACAGACATGTTCCAATGTTCGCTGTAGCATTATTCACAGTAGCAAAATGAGGGAAACAACCTAAGTGCCCATCAACAGATGAATGGATAAACAAACTATGGTACATAAACAAAATGGAACACTATGCAACGATAAACAACAACGATGAATCTGTGAAACGTCTCACAACATGCATGAACTTGGAGGACATTATGCTAAGTGAAATTAGTCAATCACAAAAAGACTAATATTGTATGAGACCGCTACTATAAAAAATGAAGAAAAAGGTTACACACACACACACAAATTCTGTGATGATTACCAGGGATGGAAGGAGAAGGGAAGGAAAATCACCAACTAGAAAGAAGACATGTGTTAATATTGGTGAAGGGAAAGACATTACACAATAAGGGGGAAGTCAGCACAACAGGACCAAGGCAAAGGAAGTTACTGAGAGGAATGTAAGAATAAAGGGCAATCATGGCAATTACCATAACATAGACAACCCTACAACAATGGTATTAACAAATAACAATCTATGGATGGTTATATAGGTAGACAGATACGCTGAAGAGGAGCAGGAAGGTGCAAGGGAGCACATCCACCTGCAGATATAGGTTGGGTTTTGGCTATTACTACATACACATTTGTAGGTACTGCATGTATATAAATACAGACAATAGATTACACAAGGGGCATTTTGCTCTGTAAATTTTCACCTAAAACACAATAAAATATAAAAGAAAAAAAGAAATGTGTCCAGTTTAACCATTTTTACCGAGTTGGTTCACTCCCCAAAACGCTGAGATAGAATTCCCAGTGAGATCACAGCCTCTTAAAATGGGGACTGGGGGTGGGGAAATCAATCAACCATCGTGTTGAACTGGCTGATTCTGACTGAGATGAGCAGTCGTGTTGTAAAAATAGCCAAAGTGGTGTGTGTTGCATCTGCCCAGAATGAGCAGGTTATTACTACTACCCTCAGTAATAATGATGATAACCAATGATGCATGGTAAATGTTTAACAACCAACTGTCACAGAACAAAAGATCCCCGATTTGTGGTGTTTGCTAATTTCCATGATGTAAATACTCTCACCATGGCCAATATCAAGCTACTGATGTGACATCACTGAACGTGGTATTGGGAAGAGGTACACCGGCACAGCACTGAATTGATAACTTCCATTTGTTGAACACCTGCTGGGGACCAGGGTCTGAAACCAGTGTTTTACATCCCTTATCTCACCTCATCTTCACTTACCTGAAACATAACCATTATCATCTCCATTTTATACGCGAGAACACTGAAGCTAAGAGAATCAAGTCTGCACAGCCAGGGAGAGGGCTTTGAACTTGGGAGGAGGGCTCTGTCCATTTGCAAATCCTGTACTCTTTCTTATTAGAGTAGCTCCAAAGTTCAGCTTCTCAAAAAACTTCCCTTAAAGCAAATTTAAAAATATCTTTGGAGAAGTGAATAAATGCTTCTATAGGTAGATGGCACCCTCTGCTAACAAAGCTGTGACTCAGTGGTTTGTATTTCATTCATTTATTCAATAACTGATTCTGCTAACCCTTTGGAATGGCCCTGTTCACTCTAACATGGCAAATTCCACAGACCTACTGTTCCTCACATTGCTATTTTGCACAGCAAGATCAGAATTCTAGGCCCAGTTTTGCCAGCACATTCTTATGTGAACCCTTCCCCTCTTTGAGCCTCACCTTCCTCATTTGTAAAATGAAAGAGTTAGACTGATAAGCATTAAGTTGCTCCAGGGAGTCTGCCATCAAATCTCTTTTCTGTTATTGTCTGCTTTCCTCAGCTGGTAAACTCCTTGAGGGCAGGATGCCTTGTCAACTACCCTCCCCAACCACGCCACCCATCCTAGTCCTGGGCACAAAAGAAAATGTCCGGTAGTTGCTCGTTGACTGAGAAAAGAAGCTTGGTCATCCACGGACAGAAGTGAGACACCAGAGGAGATAACCTCATCTGAACAAACTTGAGGGCCTACTGGGCAGCGCAAGGGTCAGAAAAAAAGACTCAGATCCAGCACCTGCCCTCAAGGAAGTGGTTCAAGATACAGAAGAAAAATGGAGACAAGATATAAGGTAGGGAGAATGGTTCAGTGCCGTATGGGAGGAGAGTCCTAGTTATATGCCCCAGTGGTGAAAGGAGGAAGAGATGGGTCAGACTTCATGGCATTGGAGGTGGGTCTTGAAGGACAGCTAGGCTCTAGACAGAAAGTCACGGGAGGAGATGTGAATGGTATTTGAGTCAGGGTTCTCTGCAAATGTCAGAAACCCAACTTAAATTAGGTTAAGCGAAAAAGGTAACATATTGAATCATATAACTGAGAAATCCAGAGGGAGCACTAATTTCAGGCATGCCTGGGTCAAGGAGCTCAAGTATTGTCATAAAGAGATGTCTCTACATTTCTCATCTCTGCTACCCTTTGTGTTCCCTTGATTTTCGACAGGCTTTCTACAAGTGGGAGGACTATGGCCAGAACAGCTCTAAGCTTCCATCCTACATGCTCAGTGACTTCAGTCCAAAGAGGCTACTTCTTGTAAGCTACTCACAAAAGAACGTGTATTGTATGATCTCACTCACAGAAATATCTAGAATAGGAACATACATGGAGACCAAAGTTTATTAGTGGTTACCAGGAGCAAGAGGAAGGGGGAAAGGAGGAGTCATTGTTTA